CCCCCCCCCCCCCCCCCCTCCCCCAAGATTGCCTTTAGCAGCAACTGTGCTCCGTAGACGGACTTGATCAAACAAAGTATGGCCACCCGCACACACACGAACGAATAACCAATCCTCTGGTTTGTCCATCCGTGGCGATACTTCACTTTCCAGAATAATTAAGCATGGCTACGGATTGACAAACTGGAGGATAATTGGTTATCCGGGTTGCTAATCCGTTTGGTTTATTTCGGCCTACAAAGCGTTACTCCTGCTGAATGTCAATGTTGGGGAGGGCGGGTTAATTGAATCACGTTATCTTCCTTGTCCATGCTGTATACAAGATCATTATGTCACTGTTCCCCACCGTATAGGATGTGACATTAGCATCAATGATGCTTCGACCGACTTCAATCAAATGAATCATGGCCACCCGCGCGCACATCCGTACGAACATCTATCCTTTCTCCAGTTTGCTTAACGGTGGAGATGCTTGATTGTCCAAAAGAATTCAACATGGCTACGGATGGACAGAGTGGAGGATGATTGGTTATTCGCAGTTGCATCAGATTGTTATAATCCGTTTGGTTCATTCCGGCCTACGAAGCGTTACTGCCACTAAGTGAAGAATCCTGGGGCGGGTGGATATGTGACAAGATGATCTTGCATATGGCAACATCAACAATACGTTTAAAGGCGCCGGGGATTTGTTTTTTTTTGGCTGGATACTGGTGATCATCTGTGCAATGTATTGGTTGCACAAGTCTGGTATCGGCGTGGCGTTGTACCGGCGGACTGATGATGGAGCGAGGAGAGACAAGTGTTGGAACAGGGGTACTACCACCGACTACAGGAGCCCTTCGCGCGTACAGTGGGCGCGATTCTCGGCACAGTCCCCAAGGTTGGAAAGGGAGGCATCCAGCGTCTAGACTACGTGCTTGTCGCGAGGACGCCACCGTGGTCGCCAAGGGCAGAATCGAGCCCAACGGCGTCGCTTGCGACAAGGTTCTCGCCCTAGCGAACCTGCTGCGTGCTTGGGGAAGAAGGTCATGAAGCAGGGGAGGGCGGACGGTTGCCCCGGCGTTGGTAGCACGGGGTGCTCCCGCTTGTGGGTTGAAGACACTCGTCATGCTAAATGGTCGCCTTGACCCCATAATCCAATTCTTTCCGCTCGAGTTAGGCCACAGCAGTGCACGATACCATCAAATATTGTAGAGGTACGTACCAATCTTAGTGTTCGATACAGCCCTCAATATGGTGCAGAGATCTAGAGGGGTTTTTTTCCGTCGAGCAGCGCGGGCAAGGTGGTAAAAGGGTGTTGCTTTGACAACGACGGGTGCAAACGAAGCTTGTCTCCCTTGGGTAGGCTTTGCTGGCCCATTCCACACCTGCCAAGTGTTTTCCGTCCCTTCTCTTTTTCGGCGGCAGCTGGGCCAAGCTCGAAAAGCTCCATAGCGGCATTGTCGGGCGCTCCCAGATCCTGGGAGGGGAGAGCGCGCAAATGGCGGCCGCGATGGCTGAGCCTCGCGTGCTGAAGGAGAGAGTTGGCGCTCTGCTAGAAGAGACGGAAATTGGTGATTCGAGGGACGCGTTCGCGGCTGCGTCGTTGGCGCTGGTAGGAGCGCTGACGGCGGCAACAGGGGCCCTGAACACCTCCCAGAAGGAGGTTCAGAGGTGAGGGGTTACGACTGCCTAAAGACCAGCGTTGAGCAGAAATCATACCCAAGTTGCGGAGCTTGAGAATGTTTATTGATCGCCGATAATAACGCATGATTCGCATGATTCGAATTTTTAGATTACCTCGTCAGGTTGGATGGGGAGTGCTGCGTAGGCGATTGTCTTGCGTGTGAGAACCGCGGCACTGACCGACTCTGTTAGAAAGGGATCAGGTTGAGGTCGTTTCGTGGCCGGTGGTCATGTGCTCTATGACATGTTCGGAGCTGTCATCGTGGTTGTCATGGCTGGGTAGTTTCTCGGGATTTTCTTGGTTTTGAGATACCATGTGTGTAGTCTATGTAATGCTACGATACCAGTCGTGATGGTTTCAGGGGAGCCAATTAGTGTGGCACTTGGCTGTGTTCGGCCTCAAGAATGTCACCCCTGGTGTTGTTTTGCGAAACGACGCGCACGGAGACGTAATCGCCTCCGTCGGGTGTTTTTGACGTCGATGCCTCCCCAGGTACTTAGCCATGTCTCGTGATCTCCGCGTAACGTCAACGTGGACCGACATATCTGAAGCAATGCAGGTAAGAGTCCGATCAAGCGGTCTTCCAGAAGCCAACCACGTTTTGATCGTCGTTTTCGCTGTACATAGCCGGGCGCATCCTCGGCACTAAAGCTTTTGCAGGCGATGGGAAATGTGGGAGTGCGTCTGAGACGTTCAAGTCTGCTGTATCCGGAGGCTCAGACTAGATTAGGAACGTGACACATTCGTTTCTTCATTTCGCTCTGCTTTTGGTTCCAGTTTTTTCAGGAGCTTTCGCGGGTTTTTTCTAATTAGTACTTCGGCATTTTTACGCCGCAGCCCAAGCACGTGTTTGTTTACCGTCGTTAGCATTGTGTTGTTCTCCGCGCACCACAGATGCTTTCGAGGCGACCGCAGTTCTTTTGACGCCTCACACTGGCTTGTGGCTTGTCACGCTATGATACCACTATACTTCTTTATAGTGAGCAGCCGTTGTTGTTACTGTTTTCTTCTGAATTGTTCTGGTATTGGTATGACCCGACCACGGTTTCGCGGGACTACGACCGAGCACACACCGTCGTCGCCGTGTTAACCTGCTCTCTTTTCGTGTCCTCATGTTTGTTCGCTTTAGTGGACGATGGACTCGTTGAAGGGCACGGTTATTCTCTTCACCCCTCACACGGCGGGCGGCCTCATCAAGGCGTTAGGCCTCTGCAAAAGCATGGATTCAGCCCTCAAGCTGTTCAAGGTAAGCAAGGCAGGGGAGCACCACCGTGGGCTGGAGAGACACGGAAACACGCAGTTGAGAAGAGAGGGGGGTGGATCCCATGGGGAGGAAGCGCTCCTGGTAGATTTCGAAGCATCGCACTGCAGATCGTGACACGCGGCTAGTGGACACCTCGTACTTGGCACGTGCGTGTCTTCCTTGGCGTATATGTTTTTAGACCGCATCGTTTCGTTGCCCATCGCCTGCCCGCTCTTGCTGCGCTGTTGTGTAGCCCTCGTTTAAGTTTGCACTGCAGATGAAGAATTTGATTTGTCGTTAGCTATGTCAGCGCGGATGATGTGTCTCTATCGCGCCGAGCTTCCGCCCTTGATCTTTTGCGTGACGAATGTTTGCCCGTCTGCCTGCGGTACGGCTGCCTCTGTTGGCTTGCGGCTGGTGGCCCGCCTGTGTTGATTTTGCGCCTTTCGGTCTCTGTGTCTAGTTGCTACCAGTCAGGTCAAGATGGAAGAACAACGAATTGAGTTGGTGGTCGCATTGCTGCGTTTCATGCGTGTGAAGTGCAGCTTCGATGCGATGTCGCTGTTTGACCCTACATGTTCGCAACCTACCATCATTCGTTGCAGGAAGCGGCCCTGCAGATTAAGATCATCGTGGTCGAGCTGGCAGGAGAGCACGAGCCCAACACGGTTTGGGTAAGTCGACCTTTGCTTGTTCGCTTCCCTCACACCCCCCCCTTGTCTACGCTGTCGGGAGGTTCAATAAACATGTGTGTTGGTGTAAGGAGGGGACTTATCACTCGTCTCCTTACCCGTGGCTACCACGTCGTTAATGGGCCGGGCGTGTGACTGTAGTCGCGTCGTTGCTGGCTGAAGCAGCCCGGTGGTTGCCCCATCGTGCTTCACAACAGTTCTCATTGGTGCAGAGTAAATGAGGAAATTCGCTTCGAAATTTGCACAGTTTGGTCGCTGTGGAACGAACACAAGAGAGCGTGTAGGTCCGCGCTTCCTGCCAAGAAGACATGCAGCACGCGAACATACACCCCGGAAACATCATGCACACTCGATCTTACTCGAGCGCTGTCTGCCAGGAACCCTGATGGGTTTTCTCGCTGAGTGCACGTGCCCCCCTCCCAGGCGAATATTCCCATCCCCCCTCCCCAATACCAAGACCTACCTGCAGTGAATATTGTACTTGAAGTAGTATTTTCAACCTCGATTCGATGCGTTCCGTCTTGCTAGTGGTGGGGGTCCGAGAATGGTGGAGGTCCACGAAGCCCTCGTAGCTAACTAGGTACCCTTGTGAATCTGTCAAAAATGAAGGGTTCTCCCGGGGCAGAGCCCCCGGCTCTTCTCTCTTCTCTGGGGAAAGCGCATCCCACACTTGCTTCAGGGAGAGCGCTGCACACTATTCTTACGGCCTTGGTGGTAAAACATAGCCGGGCATCTGGAATGGCGGTTCCGCAAGATGTTTGAACTGCCCCCCCACCCCCCCCTACTGTTGGTTTGGTATGACGTCAGAGGGTCAACCAGTCGTTGTTCAAGGGCCTCCCGGAGAACCGCAAAGTGATGACGCTGAGGCACCTGAGGAGCTTGGTGGTGGCGTACGACCATCTGAGCGATGAGATGAGGAGAGACCTGACGACCGCGCTCGAAATCATCAAGAACAGGGAGGTTTTGAACATGGTGAGCGAAAGCCTAGGATGTTCTAGAACGGTCTGGGTGTCATTGTTGTTCAGCTTGTTGTGGTCGGTACCTCTTTGCTTGTTGGGAAAGCACACATATTCGACCGACATGCTCGTTTCGTGCCGCCGTGGCTGCCAGCACTCGATGCTCTCAAAAATGTGCGCATTGCCGTGACACGGCCGTTTTATGCTTCACATTGCTTGTATTATTGCGTAGATCCGTGAGTCGCCCGTTCGGCGGCGTTGTAGCCCACCTCATTGCACGGTATGCGATGTGTCTGCCTTTGCCACACGAATCAACATAGCAGTAGATATCGTACGCAAACAATAAGCTCTTTGTCGATCACTTTTAGAAAACACAAGGATCCACCGTAGGGAGTGGGTTCCAGCCCACATGAACGAGAGGTTGCAGAAGACCTACGTGCAGTGATCTCTCTCCCTCTCTCTGTCTCTCTCTGCCAAGGCACACAGCATTGCGTTGTTCACCGTGTGCCAGGTACACCAGCATCTGTTGTTTGTTCGAAGCGGTTGGACCGGTACACAGGAAGGGCGTCCGATTTTGCCTGAAGAGTAGGTGGACGTCCATGAAGACACATACAGCTGCGGCAGCAAGCAATTTTTTCTGAGTCGCTTGTGTGTGTTTTACCCCCCGGTTTATTTCACTGCTTGACGCTGGCCCTTCTAGATGGGTAAGTACTGCATCCAGGCGGAAGCGGCAGAGGAGAAGAGAAGGGAAGCGAAACTCGCCACCGCTGAGGAGAGACTCAAAGTCGGACGACGTCCCTCAGGTGTGAATTTGTAGTGATCATGCTTGTGTGGCACGACTTTGCGAACGACGTTTTTCATGGTACTATGTAATGTCCGGCACATGTGCCCCCTGTCCAACCTTCAAAGCCCCGTTGCTTCACACAGCAGACATGCTAGGTTAAAGTGTCCGAAAGGCTTGTCTTCGAAGCGCTCTGCACCAAGCATCGTGCTTGGAAAACGGTAGGCGTAGTTGTTTTGCAGTCGTTTTATTGCATTGTAAGCACGTTGAACGGAGATGGCCAATAGGGAGTAGTTCATGGGCCGGTTGAATAACAGGTTCGGTGAAGTCTCACGTACACACTAAACGGCGAGGAGAAGTGGACCTTAACCATGTTGGGGCAAAGATGCACGTGGTGCTCACCGTACCGGCGACAACCGATGAAGTGCTGCCTGACATTTCACCTCCATACGTGATGAGCACTCCCCCCCGCTTACGCCATACCCCACTCAACCTCTCAACTACCCCCTTTGTGTGCCGAACACCCCTCTTTCCTCCCACTGTTCTGCTCTGTTTCCATTATCCGACCGTAGGAACACGCCAAGGCATCACCCCCGGAAGGCGTTCGCCACCCATGGGCATCCGCGCCTCCTTCTCCGAACCTTCCCCGCCATCCCTAGCCAGGGGGACCCTCGGCACCCCCACACACACCACGCCGGTGCGCAGCAACGGCGCGGCCGAATCCCCGGGCAGCGGCAGCAGCAACGGTGGCAACAACGTGGGCGGTAGGGCGTCGCCTCCGTTAGGAAGCGGCAGCCGTAAGGCGCCGCTCAGTACCCCGAGGTCCGGTCGGTCGACGGCCACTCCCACTGGGTGCGTCGGCGGTTCGAGGATACCGAAGGGCGTGGCGTCTCACTCTCGGCGGCGGGAATCGTTTGCTGTCGAGGCAGAGGCTGCGTCGTCTGCTATGGAAGATCGCCGCTCGAGATCTCCCACCTTTAAGCGCCGATCCGCGGGCGGGAGGTCCAAGTCCCCGGTGACCGCTAGGGTGGGGAACACCAGGCGGGTGTCGAGGTCTCTCACGCCGAGGTAGAAACTCCTCCACCGTCTGCAGCAGCGTGTGGCCATGCTGATACCACCCGACTTTTTCTGGCACATGCTGAACTCGTGGTTGTGATTTTATAAGAGTATTGTGTACGAAGATTTCTCGGAGGCTTTTTCGCGCCAGTGCTACTGCTGGAGGTCTGGACCGAAGAGGGTGTCGTTTTGTACTGTACATGAGAGGCTGGAGGTTTTGATTTCAAGTGTCGCTTGGATCGTGGCCACGGCTCTCTGCCTGTTTGAGGGAGAGCCTTTTGAAGGAGCTGCAGCGTGCATGTGCCAAGCGAGACTGGCGTTGGGTTTGACTTTTCCGCCTTTTTGCCGGCAATCAACGCCGTGCGCGGGGCAGGCAGGGTACATGTGGGTCATGATGGATACCGGTCGAAAATATGTGCGCGTCCGATCGCACGACTGAGTCGTACGTGTTGAATGTTTTTGATCTCTCTCTCAAGGTAGCGCGAGGTTCAGCCTCTGTTCCAGGAACGGAATGGTCAGTTCATTGTCCATGTCATAATAATACCGGGGAACCGAAGTCATGTAGGGGTGCTATACTCGCGAGGTTGTCCCATGTAGTGTGTACGGTTTTCCTGTGCTTGGGTTGTTTCGACGAAGAGGCGAGCACCTTAGCGGCGCTGGGGGTAATGGTGTGTGGTTGGAAGCAGCTTAGAAACTAGGTTGTGCGTTTTGGATGGGTTTTCGAAGCGGTCCTTTTTTGGATATCGTTGTCTTCGGTTTTGATAAGGCATTGGCAGACAGTCGGTGTTCGGCGGCACTTCACATCTCTCTCTCTTTTGGTTGTGTGTTTCTGTGTCTTGTGTCGTGTTTGTTGTCAGAGATATCTGACGATGAACGCGCGCATTTGAGGTGGTGAACCTCGCAAAGGAGCAAGCAACCCACATCGCTGGGTGCGGTAGGGGCAGTCTGGGCGCCTCTGTTGAGTTCATTTGATTGCGGCAATAAGGGCGGCAGCAGTGTTTTTACGAGATGGCATCGTACTGCACTCGTTCTGCCGCGGTTGTTTGTGTGTGTGTTGACGCGTTCATTTACAATGTGTGTTGCTGTGTTGTCGTAGATTAGAAGCATGCGTGGCGCTATTCCTGTTAGGTTTCCCCCCGCGCGATATTGATTTAGTAAGGGTTGGGTGGGTATCACTGCGGATGGCGCGGATTTTGGAAATCAGGTCCTTCCGGTTTAGTTTGGGTGAGACACGCAGAAGATTATTATTCGTTGTTTGGTGTCGCTGAACATGCTTTGTCGGTGGGTATCCAGGTCAGCACAGCACTGAAGAGTTCGCCATACAACGTTGAAATTATTCGGATTTATATTGTTACATAATTGCGGTACACATGTTTTATTTCGGTTTCAGGAGGAGGACGTCGAGAAGTGATCCGATTCGAGTGCCTTGTCGCCGCGGCATGATTCTCGTTGTTTTGTTGTGAACGCTCAAGTTCAACAAGTAGTGTAGTTGCTCAGGCGATATTTATTAGGTGGCGATTGGCTGTCTTTTGAAACTACAGGTAATTGAAAGGCCGTCTGTTCCAATCCGTGTCATGTACTTCACTCGGTAGCATTTGTTTCATATTCCTTAGAAGGGCAATGGATTTGATCCATCACTTTGGTGTGCTCGCTCTCGCTCGAAGATGATGCCGGTCGGCGTGATCGCGCCTGCAGTCAAGCAGCTTGAATCACCCCCACAATCTGCACCCACCCGTTGATCGCACAAATCTGAACTTACTCTGGGCGGGTGGTTCGGGGAAGTTGCGAAAAAAGTGTTGTATTACCTCTCCTAGAAGGCGCACCGCCACCGCGGACCACGGACTGGTGGTCACAGCGGTGGATAAGAAGCAATAGTTCTGATGGAGAGATAGACGTTTCGATAAAGACAAAATCAATCGAAGTAGAGCAGTCTTCGAGCATTTTTTTTTTTCCCCACGTGATGGCACGTGATGTTATTTTTTATTATGTTATGCCGTTGCTCGCAGTCCTCACGTGCGGTCCAACCTGTCCGTATCATTATTATTGTTTTGTTCTGTCTTAGCATTTAAAAACCGTTCCGGTCTCCCCTCAGTACCTTCTACTGCACTGGTCCAACTGACGGCCCAACTAACTGGATCAAATTTCAGTCTGAAACCACTCCCATTGGGGGTCACACGAAAGAGGCGTGGCCATTGTACAGTTATTCAGAGGTGGTCATTGGATATATTGGACATGTGTGCGTTTTGGCACCGCACTATGCATACACAGCTTAAAATCGTTACGAAAAGCTCCAGTCTTAAGGTGCAGCAGCTACCTAGTGCACACGCTTCCCTTAAAGACTTCATGATCATGCATGCCCTGAACAATGGGCCGCGAGCCTGATTGGTTTTTGTCTTCATGGAACGAGCGGTCAATAGCTCCGGGCGGTAGTGGGCGGGGTATGAGGTGTGGTGTCGAATGACAACGAATAAAATTGCCTCGATCCTTGTTGGTCGACCATGCTCTTTTGGGATTGGACGCCATCGTTCGGTTTGGTCCATCTACTGTACATAAACACACATCACGCTCGTGCGGCCCTGGACCATGGGGAGGGGAGCAACGCCTCCAATAAACGTGTAACCGTCACCATTAAAATTTGACATCGTGTTCTCGACAAGAAAGAGATGCACCGAACAGACCGGATCAACAATCAACCATGAATCATGAATCACCATCGCAAGCCTCGCTACCCATCTCGGCATCAGCGGTCCAACAGCTGCCGTCGGCATTGGTTTGGCATACGGCAAGTGACAGAGCAGAAAATGGCAAGCTTCGATCTCGCGGAAGGCGATGCGGTGGCACCCCTCGTCGACGGCGCGAGCCTCGAAGGTGACAACCCTCCACATGCATACATACTGTAGCTTGTCTTCTACACTAATTCTCTCCGACGTGGCAACCAACTTAGAGTAACAGCAAGGAGGCGTGGCGAGGTCTCGGCATCTCTACCCAATGCAGCTTATGTGCGTGTCCCTCTCTGCTTTTCGACCGGTGAATACAAATCATCCGTGTAGTGGCAACCCGAACGCAAGACGCCTTGGTCACTTTGTTGCATGGACTCGTCTAGAATACTGTTGTTACAGTTCAACAACAAGCGAACACCGGCCAGAAAAAAACATCAACCGCAAACCTGCATGTGTACCTTTAACGTCCTCGACCCACTGGAGCCCCCGTCTCCGGCGAAAGGAAAGTTTGAGAGCACCCTAAAACTCTCACTTCCACGAAATAAATAAAGGCTGATGGTTTTCACAGGTAAACGCCGTTCACAGGTATTGAAGCGTGACCGACCCACGAAATCTCGTGAGTACCAAACTTCGACGTCAGCACCGTCGACGAGAGAAAGGGGCGGCTGCACCCTTCTCGCGATTGACAACAAACATATATTCGGTGCGCACCGCAGGAGGAAGGCGGGGCACGAAAACAAAAGAAAAAGGAAAAAAAAAGCCCGGTGTTTACCCATCTTGCTGTGTGACCTGTAAAGTATGTACCGAAATGTACGGAAAAAACAGACTTAAAAGTGTTGTAATGTAATCTAGACATACGTACTTTGAAATACGTGTATGTAGTACACGTCTCACCACGAAAAATGAGGGGACTGTCGCCATGATAACTTCCACATTCATTCCTCACGATGAACATTGATAAACTTCCGCCTCAAACTCCAGCATCGTTGTCAATTACTCCGTATTACTGTAGCATATTTGAGGCCCGCGCCACGTACTGCTGTAGTCCACAGACAACGAGCGTTGGTGATGAGGGTTTCATGAAAATTACAGCATACATCGGTCACAGATTCGACTGATCCGTGGAGATGAAAACACCTACCTCCGATTGCGAACAAGTACAAGCCGTTAAGGACAACGATCACGGCACTAACGAGTCGCCACCTATCGGCTACTCTGAGGGAGGTACTTCCGGTGGTCGTTGCTGTTGTTGTTGTTGTTGTTGTTGTTGTTGTTGTTCTTTTCAGCAAATCTTAAACCGACAGAATAATCGGTACCTCCTCTTCTATAGTACATAGACCTACACATTCCGAGGTCCCCACGCTGGATGGTGTACATCCCGCGTGCTCCGGGACATGTTGTCGCCGCCAACTTTATACAAGGGATGTCGAAACGTAGCCTACAGTAGCTGATGCCCAACCCCTACAGGATCCTATCCTACAGTTACAGGATTTTTTCCCCCGTCGCCCCTTTCCCGAAATCCCACCTGGAGTTCTCACGATGTGACACGTTGAATTATCTTCTGCCAAACAACGAGGCCACCATACCTTGCAAGCACCTGACGGATGAACAAACGGTTGTTGAAGACAAGTCCCTGGTACTCTCAACACCTCCTCCCAGGTTCTTTCGACGCGGGGGGAAAGTACGCTTTTACACACCGACCAACCGCCACATTAACATCAGTCTACAATTCGCAAGAAAGCTATGTCAATGCCCTTGTTGGGAGGAGAGGAAATATTACCCACAACTGCTGTTTCAGACCCGCCTTACTTGACCCCCTGCAATGTTCCGGGTGCGAAACATACAACATGCATGCATCTAATCCTGAAACGCCGGCATTTTAGAAATCTGAAGTTCATCAGCATCTCACGAGAAAGGTGGCGCTATTCCCTTGTTTCCAGAGGAAGAGGCGTACTGGGACATGAATAACGAGCGAGAGCAACAGCAGCAGCAGCGTTTCGGACGGCCTCCATCGACTGATGCAAGCCCCACCCAAAGAACGGACCAAGGGTTAATGTCCAAGCTATCGGGCATCGAAATCGGCACGGTCTACGACAACCTGTCGAAAAGCCTCGGTGACAGGTCGAAAGCTCTGGGCGACCAGGCCAAAACCCTGGGCGACCAGGCCAAAACCCTGGGCGATCAGGCCAAAGGGTACACCCTCGCGAACGCGAGCACGGCCACGGCGGCGATAAGTCGCTTCAAGAAGCAGATCGTCGCGGCCGTTGACGGCGTGCCCCTGAGGCCCGACGCAGACCGGCTGCGAGAGAGTGGTACCACCACGTCAGCCGAAACAATGACGACCGAGATTGATGAAGAGGAGAGCCGGGTCTCGCTGCTACCACCGGAGCAATCGCAAGAGGACAATGAGGAAGAAAAGAATGCAGGGGGTGGACAGGAGCGACAGCAACAACAACAAGACCAATCGCGAGGTGCTGCGCAGGAGGAAGCTCTCCGCAGTTTTTCTGTCGGATGTACTCAAACCGCGAAGAGAGGAAACAAGGGCAGGGGGCAGCTCAACGGAAGTATGGTAGACGAAAGCGCCCCGGTGCTAGGGCTAGGTGTCTTGGGCGCTGTTTTCAAGAAGAAGGTCGCCGAGGTAGAAGTTGCTGCACAGACCGCCGAGGCGGTCGGTGTAGAATCTCGTAACGCCATTTCCTTAGATGCTACAGTCCCGCCTGGTTCTTCTCCTGGTGATGCTGCTGTCGGTGCTGCTGGTGATGCCGCCGCCGCTGGCGGAGGAGAAAGTCAGAGCGGAAGAGACGGCGGTGCTGCAGCGCTCAAAATAATCCCTAGGAGTGCTTCGCTGGTGGGGGGAAGACAGTGGGCGGTGCTTGCGTCGGTGTATGATACGACTGCATCGGTTATCGACGAAACCGTTAGCGACATGTTTACGTAAATTCGGCATGATCGGGAAGATTGGGTGGTTTCGAACGCCGTGATGCGTGGTGGATATCGTGCTTTCGCAGTCAGTCCCCAACGTCTAATCACGTAGATATTGATCAAACCAGCAGTGCCGGGGTAATCACGACTGGTGAATATGCTTGGTTTCGTAATTCTTCTTCGGCCGTACCTCCCCTTCCTACAGTAGGCGGCCTACAACGCCTTTTTAGGGTCCCTTGTTTTTGTTGAAGTTTCCCAGATTTCCTGTTATGTTGTCTGACGTTCACGTACGACAGCACTCCGCTATTCTTGCCCCTCGAGAAAGATATTTCCGTCCTCACCTTACAGTATACCATAGACGACTGTAGTACTAGTATGTAGATTGGATGACTACGTTTTTCGATGGCCTTGTTCGCTTCTTCATTTTTCGGTAGAGTATTTTTTGTATGTCCTTTCCAGAAGCTGTTGTTCCCGAGCAGGTTTCTCGACAATGAATGGCAATGTATCGCAACTCTCCCGTCAAGTTGGTACCATACGTTTATGGCAGAAGGATCCCATTATTTTGGTCAGCGTACACACGTTTGTGTCACCTGCCGTCTGTGAGCATCTATCTGCGGAAGCAACGGCTTGTCGGGGGGTCATCGGGGTCTCACAATCAATACCAATGGGGCGAGTGTGTTTGTGTCGTTGGCATGTCTGGTGTGGTAACATCCGTTTTGTCAGCCTGTGAAGGCGCTAGGGTATGCTTGAGTCTGTACTCACTCACGTTGGTTCGTTTAAGGAGGGTACAAGTGTGACGTTGCTTTGTTTGAAGGATTCGTATGGTAGGATGTACCGGCTTTCGAGGCCACACGATCTGCATCATCACGAGCGCAGGTTCTGTATGACCAATCTACTTGGGTTTTCAAGCGGTGTCCCTCCCTGGTTGATCTGACCATGCACACGTATCGGCAAAATGTACAATCACCTGATTATCACCGATGTGTTCACGTAGTGAAGCTACATCAATAACCCCGCTACAAGGGTGGGCAACATTGTTGAGGACTCGACTTGTCCAAACGGTGGGCGATATCAACTTGGTGTCAAGTTGTCCCGCACCCTTTCGTGATGGAGAATGGACGCAGCGCACTAATGCTGAGAACCCATGAAACGCGATCAAGGATGGTGCCGGGGATGACCACACCAAAAGTGATACATTTCGGCGTTACAGCCCAAACGCTTCGTGCCTGCCATCGGTGATGTGGCCATTAAACGCGCTCATCGGCGGGGTTCGATGTTCCTCAGTTCGTTATGTAACGCACGGAGCGAAGCCCCAAACGCTCGGGGGGGGGGGCAAAGAATAACGGACGGACAGTGGGAAGTTGGAGATATTTCTCCACAATAACGGGAAGGCAGCAAAGCGACTTGGTGGTGTTGACCCGTTGGGAAATGTCTCGTCGATTACTTTCCGAAGGTAAGGATCCTCCAAACAGGTTAAAAAACGTGTGTCGTTGGCGCCCTCTCTCCACTATTGAGGAGCACAGAAGCAACGCACATAGCATTAGTGCTCTCAAGAATGCATGCGATGCTACCTTCTCAGCGAGCTGCTGCGCTCCCACGATGAAAGGCTGCTTGCCACGACTCTCCGAAAGCCAGCAACCTCGACAAAAGCACCGTTGGCGAAGGTTCCACGCCGAAAATACAGGAGCAACACATGGAACCTCTGGTACAGAAGACTGTTCGAAGCTTCACTGAGATCACGGATCAACTCTGTTCTGTGCCTCAAGAGCACGCGTCAGCTTCGCTGCCTGCATTCCCAGGCACATCCCCGCATCCCAGCCCTCTTGCGTGCGTATCCCCACGTATCTACACCGCGTTTCCACGACGAAACACCATTGAGCAATCGGGGCAATACACCCTTGCTAGCCACCGGACCAACGCATTATATCAGTTATAGCACACGCTGTTCAGATCAGGCCACCACGCTTGGTTGCGCTCAGAGCGGAATGTTGTTGTGCTTCTTGGGGAACGTCTTCGCAGGCTTGTCTCGCAAGAGCTGCAGGTCTTGGCACAGTATTCGACGTGTCAAGGCGGGGTCGATGATGTCGTCAACGAACCCCCGACGAGCGGCAACCTGAGTGCACCAATAAGCAACATTAATCAACGAAAGTAGCGCCCGTCAGGAGGTGAGAGGATGTAGGATACTCCAGAGTAGGTGAGAACTCATGGTGCTATCCACGAGACTCCTGTGTGTGGTAGCCTGAACGGAACGCACAAGCAAAAGTACATCACAAGCGTGTCCAGAGATCCGATTCCGCGCGATCTGTCGGGACATTTCTACCGAGCACGTAGGAGGGGACCAGCAATGCGGGTATAGAGGTGATGGGCACGATCTGCGATAACTCTCAACCCCTGGAGAGATTACTTCCCTCCCCCACCAAGAGCAACACGTGAAAAACAGAACGCCATCTATAGCCCTACCGCTAGAACGAAGAAGGTGGACTGGCGGACATCATTCGAGGCGTAGCGAACCCCCCCCCCCCCCCCCC